CCCGCGAGGAGGAGGAGGAGGAGGGGCAGCAGCAGCAGCTCTCCAAGGCGCTGGGAGGTTCGTGCCCAGGTTGGCCTGCTGGTGGTTGTGAAATCGCAAGCACACACCCCTGGGTGCTACGCGCCAAAAAGCCAAACCGGCTAATAGTCGACTAATTAGCATTATTATTGGGTAGTCAACTAATAATCCCTTGAGCTTTCCATCTGTCGATTGAACAAGTGCACATGCGGATGTTTGTATTTGTATAAAATCACCAGTCTGAAAAGACAAAGGTGGCAGGAGGAACAAAAGAGATTTTTTCCCCACTCTGGAAAAGTAGGAACGAATGATCTTAAGGTATGGAACCACGCTGCCTCCTCTAGTATCTTTGTCTTCAATACCTACGTGCACCAAAAGCAGTTAACTTGTATACCCTGCTGTGCAATCAAATGGGTGGTGGTGCCCTTTTAAATCAACAAAAAGTAGAGCCATGGAACCCGTTAACAGGCTAAGCATAGTGATCATAAAAAACATTTGATGGAGATTTTTGAGCTGGCTGGTTACCTCTGACAATTCCTAATGGCCCCTGTTCATTGTAAACCCCCCTGGGGAGACGAGTGATGCTCCCAATACATGAAAGGGATTCGGAACCATTTCTGCTTGGATGATGTGGAGTGAGATGTCATGGGTTGTTGGCAGGTAGGGTTTTGAGAAGTCTAGCTGTTGTATTTTGTTTGCTTGTCCTACAGAGGCACATATTGTAAGCCAGGTGGTGTGTGAGCCACCTGAATGTCCTAGAAAAGCATACTATATAGTGCAGGTGTTGTGTGATCTCACTTGCAGACATTTCTGCTTGCTTGTAAAAGAGAAACACAAGCACAGGACATTAAATATTTTTCCTATATAAAAAACAAAATAATGCATCACGTCAGAGCCAATTTACAGTGACCCTAACAGGGCTTTCAAGGTATTTAGTAGTTTTACCAGTTCCACTCCCCCAGTGAATTTCCATGTGGTGATTTGAACCCTGTTCTCCAGAGTCCTAGTCTGTCATTGTGTCCACTACACACTGGGAACCCAATGCACAGTACAGCAGCGTTAAGAAAACTACAGAGTTTCTTAAGTAATGTTCCAGCTGTGTGACCTGGACAAGTACCAATTCTGCTGCAAGAATGGCTGAAGTATGAATACACACTTCTACTGCCCAGAGTGTGACACAAAGCCTAATATGAAGGAAGGGAAATTAGGCACAGTAGAGCAAAGGTGAGCAAGCATGTGGTGTTCAATCTAGGTTCCCCATGCCCATAACCTTAAGGTCCAACAGCTAGAAGCTACTTACAAAACAGTGACTCTATGAATCAAGTATCTGCCTTGTGAGCTCACTTTGTCTAATGCTAGGGCTGGGCTGCGTGTCACCACCACCACTTGCCTCTGTTTTAAACTGTTTCTTTTTATTGGTTGACCTTTCATTTTCATAGAATCTTCGACAGCTACCAAGTAGAGCCAAATGCAAAATAATAAATTACATGCTGTCAAATTGATTTAAATTTATGGCAACTCTTTTCAGGATTCTTTTAAGGTAAAGAGAACACATAAATGGTTTACCATTTCCTTTTTCTGGTAATATACACATCGAATTAAGGAATGGGACATCCATGAATGCATTTCAGTCGACATACTTGTTTTCATCATCAGAACAGGGCTCACAGTCCTGTCACAGAGAAAAATCATGCCTTTTTTCTCTCATTGTTTCTTAATTGAGCCACCTCTGTTGGGGAGGAATATTGCCATTGTTAAGCAAAAGAGAGAATTTTTGGTAATCTGCTGGTAGAATCTTCTGTCCCTTGGTAGGATTGCAAAAAAGTCACTTTCCTTCCTTCCTTCCACTTAGCGAGCCTGGTAAGTCAAGTTCCAGCAGCCATGGCTTCAGGCGCATGGTATAGGTACATGTCTATCTTGATTGCTTGAAGCCTCCAGTATATCAAAGTTACACCAGCCCATGCAGAGACAAGCCCTTTAGGTAATCATATGTAAAACTTGAACCTAAAACTAATAAAACTAATAAAAATAATAAATATGTATTAAAGATAAGGAATTGGAAGCCTGTTAAGAAAAGCAACCTTCAGAGGCCCCCTATCTGATGGTCAGCTTAATTCCTGTTCCTACTTACCCCCCTTGGGGTGCTCACTGTACACCCTAAATTGCATGCAAAGAATCCAAGAATCTTCTGTTTCATATCTGCATAAAAAAATTGAAAGGAAGGCTGAGTAGGAAATAAGCTGTTTTTTTGACACAAGGGATGCCAGATACATTCTCCAGCAAACAACAAAATATATCTCATTGGTTTTCCATCTGAATTTTTTTCCTTTGCAGCACTATTCTGTACATAGATACTCATAAGTAGCTCCCACTGAAATCAAAAAGACCCAGGTTTGCTGCCTTAGTCTAAGTATACTGACTTTAACATGCATTATGAATTAAACGATCGAAGCCATACCTCATTGTTTGTTTTGAACAGCTGTAGGATTTCGTGCCCAGCATGCTGGTTATCTGAAGTGGTGTATCCTGCTCTCCTAAGGCATTAAGTGGTCCTGGCATTCATTATATGTCTTTGCATTCTGGTGACAGTGGGGGGATTTTTTATTTTTTATTTTTACTTTGTGCATGTGAGAATGAGTCAGTTGTTCCCCTTCCAGGGAACACGGCTAGGTACCATGTTGTCATGTGCCCTTTGCTGCCATAAAATCGTGGTGTGGTAAATTCATGAAGAAGTTATGAATCGAAGGATGGCTGAGGGGGAGCATCAATTCTCTTAGGCAACTGGGGGAAAATAAAAGGAAGGAATATGAAGTTCTGTGTTGCATTTACAAACACATTTCCATTCATCCTGCATATGCTTCTAAAAATAACTCCCTACAGCTGATGCTTGAGAAGCTTGGTGGGGCATTCTAGGTTCTTACTCCAGTTACTCAGCTGCTGTTCTATTGGCAATATCTTCCTTCTCATATTCCACAAAAGCTGCCCTTATTTTAAAAAATATATTATGAACATGTCTGTACTTCCCACACCCCTTTCTTTTGTTCTCCTGAATTGACATACAGGGAAATGACAGCTTATTTGCCTAACACTGCTTGTGTGTTCCCATTATATAAATTTATAATAGACCTTTTCCCCCTCCCTTCAGCTGTGAAATCTAGATATAATGTAAACTAGACTCATTCCATGCCTAGGCTGAAAAGGGAGAGGAGAGTCTGTGTACTGTGCCCATCAAATGGCTTTCTCAGAGCACTATCACTTTTCGATGATAGCCTGGAACAAACCTTACAATATAATATGTTTTTGTAGTAAGCTAGACCAATGAAAAATACAAAAACAAGTGGACCAAAAGGCAACTACTACGGTACCCTACACAAGTGGAATTGTGACTTCCTTTTCCACCCCTTCTTACTGCAGCCCTATGGGGTGCCAAAAATCTGTTCCAGGGACTTTACCAGTCCTTTGGAGCAGGTTTCTAGGATGCATCCAAGGAAGAGATTTTGAAGAATCACGGTCAAAGCTTCCTAAAAACTGAATTTCCCTGGTATTACTTCCAGACCATTTTAACATTTGCTAGTGGTAGATTTGATTACAGTTTTTAAAAGTGGTATATTTCCAGATTTGATTACAGAGTAGACATGTGTCTAGATGGGCGGGGTTTTAATTTGATAAATAAATAAATGAAATAAATATCAAATTTAGATTCAAAGTGTTTTAGCATTCTATCAGATTTAGTCAACGAATGACAGGTATTAGAATTTCACATTACAACAAATGTTTTATCTGAATATACTGATACATAGCAGGTTGTGTATTTTCCATTAGCTGATTAGCATCTACAGGAGCAGCTTCTTAAAAATCACACATCTTTGACAAACCAAAATGTTTGCATACCTGAAATTTGCTTCCTTCACTAACTGACACCACAATCCTATCCCATGTCTAAGTAAACTCCAGTGGTATTTAAGAAAGTTTCATAGGCTGACAATGTAAAAGATCCACTACACAGAAGTAACACCAGTGGTGAGACATTAGTGTTTAATGCATATTTATCCTAGACCAAAGACTTCCCCCTCCCCCGAAATTTAAAGGTTAGTCCCTTTTGTCCCACCATGAAAGAACCTGTTGTATATTATATTATTTAAGGCAGTACCAATCTTGACTTAATATTAATGTCTTAAATAGTGTCAAGATTTAATATCTGATTTAAGATCTATAATGCAGTCTTACAGGGATGTTGGCAAATCTTGGGGTCCCTTGAGTCTGAGTCTTGGGGTCTGAGTCCCAAGTCCCAAAGCTCAAGTCATTTAAGGCAGTACCAATCTTGACTTAATATCAATGTCTTAAATACTGTCAAGATTTAATATCTGAATTAAGATCTATAATACAGTCTTACAGGGATGTTGGCAAATCTTGGGGTCCCTCGAGTCTGAGTCTTGGGGTCTGAATCCCTGAGTCATAAATCCCTGCCTGGGAAATTCTGGGAGTTGTAGTCACAGCAGCCACCATCTTGGACTCACAGCTGCTGTAGAGGCCTCCTGTGCACATGCGTCTGGGTGCAGTGCCCTTGCTTAAGCGCTAGGAGGAGCTCCAGAGTAGGGAGGGTGACCATGGG